ATCCATCCGGGTGAATTCGTGGTAAAGAGCATCTCCCATTTGGGTGGCACATTGCTCTATAAACCTACAACATACGGCCTTACCGAATGCCTCAAAGACAACCTCGCAGTCGTTTGACATGAGACAAAGATAAACGTACCGCTTACTTTAAACAAGCAGTAGACAGTTAAAATCTAAGTCAGAAACCGCCTGCTATTGCTTGGGACAAAACAGTCGGCCTAATTTGAGTAGATAGCTAAGCAAAACTTGGCAAAAAAAAGAGGTACCATGCGGCCAAAGTCGTCTGTTTCTTCTACTCACTCAAATCAAAGTGACAGAGATGGATTAACCCCAAGGGTTAACTCATAGTCACTCTAGCAAACTTGGGATGGAACCTAAACGGTGCGAACCAAACCGCCTGTTTTTTGGTAAACAGACGGCACTCGGCCACTATTCCTCTAAAAGGTTTGCATGCTCTAAAACTTTGTAAATAGAGAAAACAACATGCGGCCACAGCCGACTGTTTCTTCTGTTTACTCAAGTTTTAGTGACGGAGACAGATTAACCTCAAACGGTTAACTTATAGTCATCCAACCAGCCTATAATGGAACCCAAAAGGTACGAATGAAGCCGCCTGTCCTTTTAATAAACAGACCGCATTCGGCCACTAGTCCTATTTAGGTAGCTAAAACTATTAAAGCTACTGCCTGACAGCGAACAGGCAGTTGCTACTTTGATTAAAAATATCCAATTTGGCGCCTGTTCTGTACAGGTACCAAACAAACGGAATATTTACAATCAATAAAATAAACTAAGTACAAAACTTAGTTGCAAAGCGTGACTCATTTACAGAACTATATTGAGGCCGAGAGCCGGATAATGCTGAGTGTATGGCCGTTTGTCCAATGGCCGCCTGTCCGCCTGGTTTGGGGCAATCACCATAATGATTGATTGACCTAGAAATCAGTCATACTCTTTAAAGTATCAAAGATTTCCAAGTCAATCCATCAACCTTAGAAAACCAGGCGCACAGCCGGCCAGGGGTAAGAACAGTCGGTATACCAAAACAATCGGCATTTTGAAAAATTTGCATTCACACAAAAAGGCAAGCTACACTTAGCAAAATTCATGAAAAGCAATAGCAAAAATTCAAAATTTGGAGAAACCGGCAAAAACGGCCGGATGATTAATATAAACAGTCGGCCAGGAGACCGACAGAAATGTTGAAAATCAAAATTGTCAAAGAACCACGACCCCTTGGTCGGGTAATAATACAAATTAAGCGGCACACAGGCCGAAGAAAGTTGACTTATAAGAAAACGGGAGTTCAAGCAGTTGGAGGAGGACGTTTAGTGTCAGCAACCGCTTCCTTTGGATCCTCAATCGACGGTTGTCCTTTCTCAGCATCCGCCTCCTATTGTGGTTGTTCTCCGTCAGCATCCGCCTCCTCCTCCTCCTTGTCATCCTCTTCTTGGTCCGATCCGACTCCCCGGAAGTGGAGTTAAACGCCTCATCCTTCGCATCTTCCTTGCCATCTGCCTGCTTAATGATCTTCTTGTTGAATTGATCAGTACAGACGGCGAATTGGCTTTCCCATTTTTCATAGCCGAACTCTAGGAAGAGGACCGCCCAGGTCATCTTCATGATGGCGCTGCAGTCGTCCATCATGTCCTGAACAATGGCCATCTTCTCCTCGCCAGCTTTCTCATTAAGCTTTGGGTAAGCTCAGCCTCTTGATTCTGCAGGCGGCCCTTAAGTTTATTTACCCGCTTGTGGAGTCCCTCGGCTTCCTTGTCCGCCACCTTGAGAGGCGCCAGCTCAGCTTTGAGGTCCTTTACAGACTTCTCCAACTCCAAGATCTTCTACCTGGCCGCCTCTAAGTCCTTCTTGACCTGCAAAGTGGCGGACGCCTGGTAATACAGTATGTTAGTGGTCAAAATCTCGTTTTGAGCTATCTGGAACATAGCTTTATCAGAACCAGAGGCGGCCATGGCCTTCGCAGCTTTTACTTCTTTGTTCTTTTCGATGATGGGTTTGCGGAGACCATACACTCGTAGCATAGACTGCACTCGGCCAAAAAACAGACATCAGTTACAGGCGGCTAGGAAAACAAATATGCAACAAGTCAAGAAATTCCACCAAGTATACCTCAGCAAGAAGAGCCAAGATGGTTTCTAAGTCAAGGGTGTCGATTCCCTTGACAGCTTCCCTCTCCTCGAGGGGGATGACCCTTAGCATGGACTTGGTGTGTTGAACCAGGTCCGGCTCTTGAGGGGCATCTGCTAAGTAGACCCTGATTAATATGCGGCATAAAAACAGAAAGCATGCCGACTAATTTCAGAGGAGCCGGCTGCTTGATGAAACTTGGGAGATTTGAACAAATTATACCTCTTGCCGCCTCCTTCTCTCTTGGAGGCCGGCTGCCCCCGGGGAAAGCCACAGTTCTTCCCCCGCTTTGGGGAGTCTTTCCTTGCCGTTCGGGCGTATGTCTCTGGGCGTTGCCAGGAGTTGACACATCCCCAGTCGTCTGTTTCCTGACCTTGGGATCCGGCTGGGTAGAGGAGGAAGGTCTAATTAAGTCGCTCTGCAACACAATTCATTGAGTCAGAAAAAGGCGATAGATATAAAAATAAATTGTGCCAAGTTAAAGTAGCTCACCCTGGGTGCCTGTTTGGAAGGCGACTCCTCAGTGGACCGCTTGCCTAGAATGGCCGCGCGGTATTGGGCGGCTGCCTTCTTGGAGGCCGAGATTTTTTCCATAGCTTTATCTGCAAAAGATAAATCAAATGGTTACACGCTGAATCAACCAAGTCTTTCAAGACACTCTAACAGGCGGTCCAATACCTCTCGGCATCTCCCCGCTAAGGCCGTAGGCGGCCAGATATGTCCCATCATATAACCAGTTATACTTTGGGATGTAATTTGGAGGATGAACTCCCTCACCCTAGTCTCGGGGTTCGCCTGTATATCAACTTTAAAGAGCTCTCGGTCTAGGATCTCTTCCTTTACTCTTTATGAACAGGCGGCAAATCAGATCCGCCTGTCAAGTAAGGTGAATCCCTGTTCCACCTATTGAACTTCTTGTTCCTGACCTTGTCAGAGTGAGAGACTATGTAGAAGGTGTTCCTCCAATCCTTCCACTTGTTCTCCTTCCCCATGGTCATCATGTAGCCCTTGTGGCTAGTCAGCTGGAACCAGCCGGTCCCGCTTGTTTTTAGGGTCCGACTAAGATAGTTCATGTGAGCGAATGCTTAGAAGTTAGGCTATACTTCATGCATCTCACAACCGGCCATATAGCCTAAAATATTGAACCACGAGTTTGGGGCCAATTGCCAGACTCCCAACTAGTACTCGTCTAAAATCCTCTCCACAACCAGATCTAGAGGAAATCTCAAGACAGCCTTAATGGCCGCTTCATAACAGCCAAAACACTCGTCCCGGTAGCTGGCCGCCTCTGGCCAGACTACGGTATCCTCGGCATCCGGCACTGTAAGAATGTAACCATGACTCATTACGTGGTCAGCCCTAAAACTACCAATCTTTTCAGACATGGCCCTCCGCCTGCCTTTGGGAACATGGCAATAGTAAGGGGCATACATGTCTCTTTGGGTTTCAGCCGGCTCTGCCCAGCCCTTTCCCTTTTCTACAGAATGACTTTCTCTCGCCGCATGTAGCCGAGAGTGCTTCTCCTCAGAGTCGTTAGAGTACCGACTGGAGGTGTTGGGCTCAGAGTCATTGCTCAAGCTCTTAGGCAAAGCAGACGCCTGCCCGGATAGATCAATGATAAGAGGGTCATTCTGTACCTCCTCCCTTGATTCTGCCAAAATAGAATCACTCGGGGTGCTTGGGGCGCCTGGTGGCACGTCCGAGATCTCGCTTATGGGCGCATAGAATGAGGAGCCGTATGAATTTGTTATCCTTGTCGTTCTCTTTGTTCTGGCCATGGTGTCCAACACAGACACATAGACAGTCGGACACTGGGCAGTTTGCAAAGGATGGTCCAGCATGGGGCAGGCGACACTCCTAGTTCTAGATTCAGCCGTCCCCAGTGACCGGCTGATCACTGACCTAGGTCGTGCCGTGTGCTTTTGGGCTACCATTTTTGAAAAAAGAAAAACAAACAGAGAAAGTGCAAAAGAAAACAGGCGATTACCTTAAGGTAAAGATGTTTGAAAACTCTTGAACAATTGTGCAGCTGAAGGAGCAGGTGGTCTGAGATCAGGCGGTCAGGTAGCAATCGTCTAAATTGTCAGAGCTTAAGTCCAAAGTTCTGTTTAAAAAAGTTTCTAGAATGTCCAAATGATTTGGACATCCCCTATTTATAGGGGGAGAATTTCAAGGGTTAAAAAAAAAGGGTAAAAACCGTTAGCCAGTCAGAGCGTGGCATCTGTCATAGGTGCCACGTGGCAAGCCACGTCACCCTTGTGAGGGGCAAATGATTAGGGGATTTTTCCCCACCACATGGACCACTTAGGTGCTGCCACGGGTCATCCACGTGGACCAACCAGAGCCCGCCACGTGTCACCTTGTGAGAGATCCAAGGTGGACCAATCTGGCCACGACACGTGGCAGGCAGATAGCCCAACAGGAAACTGACCTAAATGGCCCAAATTCCTAGGCAAAGCCCAGTCAGTCCTAGGTTTACTGAAACCTAGTAATGGACATGTTTTCCAACACCCTATAAAAGGGAGATGTTTCCCCTCTGGAACACAATTAATTTTCACATACACATTAACTCACAATCAGAGAAAGTCAGACACCTGACACCTCGAACTGAGCAATTACACATTGCAGATACTCTCTTGGAATCCAAGAGAGATTTTACTTTCCGCACTTTACTCCTGAAACACGTTCTAACTTGATCGTCGGAGGCGGAGCTCCCACCCATAGGAGTCTCCGTTGTTTTGCAGATACAGGCGGCGTCCAGAGGTCGGTCTTGGAATTGTAACTCTCCCACAGGACATCAAAAAACCCCTAAATAATAACGTCAAATTATCATAAATCAAAAGATATATTTTCCTTTTAAAGAATATAATCGATTTATATCAATAATACGTATTTATATTTGACATTGGAGACAAACTCATTCAACAATAATGCCCAGGCACAAAACTATCAGTACTTGATAATGTCATTCGTCAAACGAACAAACGAAAAAGTTACGAAGTACGTTATATTTAAGGTGATACTATAACGAGCTCAATCCGAGCCACCTGTCAATCATGGCAAGCGATTCTCGAGGCTTATACTCTGGCGCAGTGTGCCCTCCTCCCTACACAAAAGTAAATACGTTACAACAACTTTTACAGTTGGCTAGCTACATACATTGTGTAGCAAGTCATCGTGGAGGTAACTTCGTTACCGTTATAAGAGTTACTCGGTTAGTGTTATATGGGTTATTTCGTCAGTATTATAATGGTTATTGGGTAAGTATTACAAGGGTTGCTTGATTAGTATTATAGGAATTGCTTTGCTCTTATACAAGTGGCCATATGGTGTGGGTAGTTGCACACAAAATATGCTGATTTTGTAGATGGTAAAAAACTAACTTTCTATATTACTAACACACACACACAAAAAGAAAAAGTAAAATTTTACACAAAAAGCAATTAGTACTACATAGACCTGGTAAATGGGTCGTTCTAGTCAGGTCATTTTGGACAGGGTCGATTTTGGATCAAAAAATATTCAGGTCGGGTACATGTCAAGTCAATTTGAATCAGATCAGGTAATTTATCAGGTCAATACGTCAGGTTAAGTTCGAATCAGGTCAAGTTCGGGTCGGGTCAACTTTCAAATCCAGTTGTCAAGTCAAGTTCGAGTCGAATCAATTCGGATCAGGTCAGTAGTGTGATGCTCACAATGTGGTGCTACAATTATTCATTGAAACCTCAATTTACATCTTAATTTATAAGTTAAAACATCTACTCATATCCTTACATTTTTAAAAGTATGAGTCACTCTTATAAATAGTGTTGAGACGATTATGCCTATAAAAATGCTTATTTATGTATTTACCCCTTTTAAAATTATGGCCACAATTTTATGAATAGTGTTAAGACGATTATGTCCCTAAAATGTTTATTTACATATTTGCCCTCATTAACGTCAATTTTTTTTTAGAAACTCTTAAGAAATAGTGTGTGGTCATTTATACCCCTAAAAATATTTGTTTTCATATTTTCCCTTATTAACAGTACTAACAACTAAATTTATAACATAACGCCAACGGTGCTTTTTCTATGTGGTTGGCCACACCGTGTGGCCGGGGTTATTTATTCAAGGGTTACTTATTCAGGAGTTACTCAACCAGTGAAGGGTTAGTTACTTATTCAGGGGTTACTCAATCGGTCATGGGCTACTTATAGGGGTTATTTATTTAAAGGTTACTCAGTCGGTCATGGGTTACTTATAGTAAGGAACCCTGACCACATGGTGTGGCTAGACACATATAAAAATTTAAGTGACGCCAAATCGAAAGAATTTCCCGAATATGGCTAGTTATGACACGCGCATCGCGCGCGTTAGCCGCCTAGTGATACTTGGAAAAAAAAAAAAAAAAAAAAAAAAAAAAAAAAAAAAAAAAAACCTCTTTAGTTTAAGTTAGGCCTTGTTTTGTTCACCTAATTTAAGTTGATCTGATCTGATCTGAACTGATATTTTCTGATCTGATCTGATCTGAACTTATATTTTCTGATCTGATCTGATCTAAACTTATTTTTTTTTATCTGATCTGATCTGAACTTATATTTTCTTATTTGATCTGATCTGAACTTATTTTTTCTGATCTGAACTTTTCTTTTTCTGATTTGATCTAATCAGAACTTATTTTTTCTGATTTGAACTTATTTTAATTATTTCAATATTCTACTTTTAATGTTAATCAATATTAATGTTAATTATTATTGTTATGATTATTATTACTATTATTATTATTATTATTTATTATTATTATTATTATTATTATTATTATTATTATTATTACAAATATTTTAAATAAACCTATAAGTATTAAAATTACTAGATAGTATAAGGTAATACAATTGGAATATTTGATAATTTTATTATTTACAGTATCCCACTTCATAAATGAATATTTTTTTATAAGAAATTATTAAAATGGGGATCCTAAAAAATCTAAATTACAGATGAAATTTATCATAGCTTTTTTCTACATAGAAAAAAGGAGATTTGACTTGTTTTTAAATACCTTAATTCTTAAATAATAATATGGATTTATGATGTATCGGATTTGATTTTATCGTTTGTTTGAACTAGCAACATTTTCTATGTTACTTTGTACTAATTTTAATTGTAGTAATGCGTAGCTATTATTATTGAAAACCTTATACGTATATTCCCTTCGATTTTAAATACCTTCTCCATTTTTACATGTGGGGAGTTTTAGGAGAAATTGGTAAACGTAATAATATATGGAAGGGGTAAGTGGAAGAATAAAAAATTGTATAAAGCAAAAGTATTTGAGTGAGGTGCCAAAAAAAAAAAGTGACAGCACAACATATTGGCCATATTTCAAGGTATTAAGAAACATTATTATTATCTTGCATTGTCATTATATTATTTTATGAATGTGCAATATATAATCACTTATAAAATATATCTTTAAATGTTTATGAACTATTAGGATTGTGTTGGAGCATTGGATGGGACTCATATAAATGCAGTTGTAAGCGATGATGATGGTGTGGCATATCGAGGGCGTTCTGGAAAAAAAACATGGAATGTTTTGGCTGCTTGTTCCTTTGATAGACTTTTCACGTTTATCAATGTTGGATTTGAAGGTAGTGCTCATGATATTACTGTATGGAACCATTGCTTAACCGTACCAGAATTTCGATTTCCCCATCCACCTCCAGGTATAATTTAGAATAGTGTATGTTTTTACTCCATACATGACGCTATACTAATATGCCGTATAACTTTATTTTGTAACAGGGAAATATTATCTAGTAGATTCTGGATATCCGAATACCGTTGGATATTTGAGTCCAATAAAAGATAAAGATATTAGAACCCATATGCCCGAATTTCGAAATGGTCCACCACCTCAAGGCATACTTGAACTTTTTAATTATCTTCACTCTTCACTTCGAACAACGATCGAGAGATGTTTTAGATAATTTAAATCTCGATGGAAAATATTGACAATGATGCCAAATATGGACACTAAACATCAATTGACAATTATGGTTGCTACATTCACACTTCACAATTTTATTCGATTACATGAGTTGGATATACCCATTGATAGTGGTATAGAAATCGAACCAAGAGCAGATTATGATTTGTTTAACGAGAATCGTAAAGCTGTAATGAATGAAGTACAACTTAATATAGCGAAGGAAATTTGGAACTTCTTGTAATGAAAATTATATTTGTAAACGTTTATGATTTGGAGTTATAATGAAATTTTAATTATTATCGTTTATCATTTGTGCTATTTATTATTATTATTATTATTATTATTATTATTAATAATAATAATAACCATCATAATAATAATAATAATAATAATAATAATAATTTTTATAATAATAATAATAATAATAATAATAATAATTTTTATAATAATAATAATAATAATAATAATAATAATAATTTTTATAATAATAATAATAATAATAATAAAAATCGGGTCGGTTCAGATCAATTTTGGGTCGGGTCATTTCTGATTAATTTCGAGTCAGGTATAGTTGGGTCAGGTCACTTATGGTATTGAGTCACATTTAGGTCAACTCCACTTTTGATCGAGTAAATTCGGGTTCAGGCCATTTTGGGTCAATCTACGGGTCGACTCATTCGGTCGGGTCGGGATTGGCAGGTCTAGTGCTACATATGTTATAGGAAACAAAAGTACGAGTAACATAAAAATAATTACCTTAATGGTAGCAAACGTTAAGCGATAAGGAAAGCGTAAATATTCCGTAACATATCTGCAAAATGGTTTAAAGATGACTTAAATATGATTAGTTTTGATGATAAAGGATGATCATGTAAACGTGAACAACCATGAGTAATGCACTTATATAGTTATATATGCCCCCATGCCATTTTTAAAATTAAAATTCATCAAGAGTTTCATTAATGTTGGCATAAATTCCCTATATGGATTATTTCATACTAATATTTGTCTTTGTAAAATCCATGATGTACTTTATTTAAGATATGGAGAAGAACTCTACTGAATCTGAATTAGCTACTGTACTTGGTACCACGTACATTTGTCATACTACACTACTACCCTAATTAAAATATTCAATTAAAATATTTACTGTAAAATATTATTTCCGTGATATATTATTAGCAATGTTTGACATAAAGTGTGGGTGAAAAATATCTAATCGTTGTAAATAATGGTAATATATGGAGTACTCCATACTTCCATATTCTATAATTTGGAGAGTAGGAGATTTAAAGATGAGGATATACTCCATAGTCTATAATTTGGAGAGTAGGAGATTTAAAGATGAGGAAACTCACCCTGCTACTTGTCCATCAACGAACCATGGTCTCCAATGCATGTCCGTTGAGAGATCTAATTGCTTGATCCAATCTTGTGAGTCCACATATGATATTGATTTATCTTGGTCTCCACTATAATGTACACAAGAAATTCATATCCAAAACCAATCTAATATTTATTTATATAAATAAAATAGGCATTTTTTGGGAGCATTCAGCGCGCCACATAAGCAGGTATTATTTCGACCAATGAAAAATTAGATTTATATTTTATTTTAGAATTTAAAAATTCATTTGCCACATAAACAAAATTAACAAATGAGATTTAAGAATTAAGATTCAATTTCCACGTAGCTAAAACACGACGAATAGTGATTGAGGATTTGAATAATTAAAAAGGCAAAAAAAAATATCTTTTGATATTAAAGATTTTATACAAATATCCAATAAATATAATATATAACGGATTTTTGAATTTTATTTTACTTTTAATTAATTTAAGTGTCATCAACAAATGAAATTGCAATTTTTAATTACATTAAAATTAAATTTATACTTCGTACATTTCTAATAAAAATTTAATCACAATATTATATGGATTCATATACTAAAGATTTAAAAATTAAAAAAAAAACTTAGACTTTTAAATAAATAAATAAAAATAAAAACAAACCCTTAGACTTTAAGTAAAAAAAATAAAAAAAAATAAAAAAAAACTTTATTTCCTCGATTTATGTACTAAAAGAAATTAGAATAAAAATAAAAATATTATAGAGATCATAGGTCAAAATAATTATATATATATATATATATATATATATATATATATATATATATATATAAAAGTGTATTGCACGGGCTTAAATCTAGTAATTAAAATAAGTTTGGAAAATTCTCAAGTTTCATCCATTTTCTTTTAATTCCGCATTCCTTTTTGTTCAATACAAAATAGTTAAAGGATAATTTCCAAATCAGTCTCTCCAAGTAGATTATTAATTCGTATTTATATCAAAAGGCTTTTATATTATTTTGATTTTTTAAGAATTTATTTTAGTGGATAAGTTGATTGTACGTTAAAAAGGTAAAATAGTAAATATTATTTCAATTTAATAAAATTAACTTTAGTTTAGTAAAAGTAATCAATTCTCATAATCTGCCATTGTGGCTCTGAAAAAACACACACACACAAAAAAAAAAAAAAAAAAAAAAACCGCCAACCTGTATATCAATGCTCGAAGAAAATATTTTGCGAAACTTTTATGATAGCTTATACTGCTTTGAACACTGTTCGTATACATGGATAAGCTGCGATTACATCTAACCCAATAATCAACCATCCCCTGCTTAATACGAAGTATCAAATAGTTAGGTTATTAGCTTGGTAATTCAAAAATCTACGGAGCATAATACAATTTAAAAATCACAAAATCAAAATTAATTGAAATAAAGAAATTATACCCTATTCTCTTCATCTTATATTTACTAAATTTAATTTAATTATTTTTTATTAAACTTAAATTATTTTAACTGATTAAAACTTATTTCTCCTAGTTATATTATATTTGTTCATTATTTTTTGCGAGCTTAACTTTATTTGTTGAACTTATTTTTAGTGAACTAAAATATTTTTTATATTGAACTAATATTATATTTACTGAAATTAAATTATTTTGACTTAATATTATTTGATGCAAAGAAAATCGAATCTTACTCTTACACTTAAAAATGATTGACATGTCATTTGTAAGTTGTTATCAAAACTTTCTATTGTTTTTTTTTAAAAATTATTATTCTAACATAGATTACAAAATATACATTATAGTGTTCTCCGAATATTAAAAAAAATCCCAAAAACAATACTTACAGTTACATTGTTGGATGTAAGTCTCTCATTGTTTAAACAAAAAAAAAAAAAAAAAAAAAAAAAAAAAAAAAAAAAAAGAGCTAATCACCCAAAAAGGCTATGATGTTAGAATATTTTGTTAATAATATAACAGAGAGTGGATAGTTTATAAACCTTTGGCTATTTCCAAATGATTTGCAATAACTCCTACTTGTTTCAAAGAATATTTTGTTTCGATGATTTGGCTATTTCTACTGTTTTGGATGATTAGTCTTTGTTTTTCCTACACCATACTACAATATTTTTATATCTAAGATCGATCGTAACATACCAATTAACACCAATAAGGCAATAATTTGATGTGTTTGTGTGTTTTAATGATGCTGAGGGTTGTTATATGATAAAGAGAACTTGTAAATATTCATATCAAACGTTGAAAGTTGAAAGCATACCTCTCGAATGTGAAGTGCCTCTTGGACTTGTATATCATTTGCCCATGTGTAGGAGGGCATATAATGGGTATTCTATCATTCATAAAATAGTATAAATAAAGGTTTATACATCAAAGCTAGCAGAATCAAGGAAAAGTGTAAACCATCATAGCTACACCAAACTACAAAGAGAATACTACTCCGTTCCATACAAATTTTTTTACGATTGCAAAACTTCAATTCACATGTTGAGATGGTCTTTTAACATGGTATCAAGAGTTAGTGTGACACAAAGGTTACGAGGTCAAAAAAATTCTCATCGGCCCCCCCTCCCCTCCCCAGTTAGCTTTTAAGTGGAACAATTTGTGCTAGGTATGAGGGTGTTCATGCCGCATCCACACTTTAAGTACAAAACGGTCTCATGTGATGGGGCGTGATAGAGTATATAAATTGATCATAAACTTCAACTATCAGCTTAATCTTTTGATTGAGTTGATTTTCTAACCCTTTTTTATTTTGGTTAGCTTGTAACATTCTGATTCATGCTATCTTTGGCAAACACCTTTTACTCTACCCGGCCACAACAATATCCACTTTCTTTTTCTATATATATTCATTTTTTTTTTCTTACACTCGTCCAATTTCCTACACACTCTCAATTATATCACCCACATTTTTTACACGCACTCACAAGTCACCACGGCACCACATCAACACTCACTATCTTATTTTTTTGAATGTTTGTGCAAATCATAAACGTTATGATTAAACGCAAACAAATGTAGTATCCAATTATAAGATACAAAGAATGGTAAGAATAATTAAATACCCGACATTTTTGTTTGCCACGGAGAAAATTTAGAGGATCATCGTTTGTATGATTTCGTGTTGGAACCTCTTTTTTGGGCTTAGGAGATACAAACGTGCACTTGTGTTCTAAGATATGCGGTGAGCAGATGAGATCGCTTTCCTGCATATACGTAGTACTAAATCATTAGCTAATTTACTTCAGAAAATAAGAAGAAAGTAATAAGAATTAAAGGGTGATTAGTAAAGTAATTATTTGAAGGAAGATTAAAGGTTACTTAAAACATAAGACTTTTATGACGACTTACTTCTGATATAGCTTGAACTGACTTCAAGCACTTTGTATTGTTAGCATCTATATTTGTAAATTCATTGTTGCAATTTGTTTTGGCAGACTGTGGAATAAATCGACAAAAGTATACAAATTAGTAAATGCGACAATATGTAATACTCCCTATTGACTTTTTTTAGTCTTCCAAAGAAATTTCAAACAAGAACGTACTTTAGAGATGGGGAGTGCTAATGTGGTATCTGATATTGCCATTAAGACTCCAATGGTACCAAATATGATTCTAATATTACCATTGGAATTTAAAGTTTCACATAAAATGACAAAAATACCCCGTGTTGTATGATGCTCATATAACATGGGTATATACGCAGAATCCCTCCTAACACTTATTAGAAAATTAAAATTGATGTTAAAAAAAAAAATTTACCTCATAAAGCTCATCAGAAAGTAGTGATACACGATGCATGTACTTAGGTCCTGCATTTTTACTTACGTGATCATCTGTTAATGGGTTTCCAAGTATATATCCCTAAGTCCAATAAATATTATATGGACGGAAAAATAAAATTAATAAACAAAACAAAGCTATGAAATAATAAAAAAATATTCAGAATGACTTGAAAAAAATTCTTTTCTGTATCGATAATTTGACTTACAGTATACTTGATATAGCTTAGCAATGTAGAATGACGGAAGTAATTGCTAGTTACTTTGAATATTAAGTATATTGCACGTAAGATCATGAGTTTAAGATATCTTGTCTAAATTTAAACATTTACTAAAGGTGAATTCTAAAATGATACACATCATTATCTGGTATAATGTTTTCCCACCATTTTTTTTCTTTCAAATTTTTATTCTTATTAACATTTTGTTTACTAAATCTAAACAAATCTTAAATTATCATTTCATGATTGAATCTAATAATACCTTGATACATAATAATTCAAAAAATGTCTATTATGGAGTATTTCATTACCTATCGATCAATAAGGAAATTAATTTTTATTGAATAAATAAACTAAGGTTTGGAAAAAAACAAAAGTTTGAACAAATAATTAATTAAAATTAAAAGTTTAGTCAACAATACAAAAAATATATATAAAAACTAATATCATAAATTTTGAAAACTACAATTTTTATGTTCTTAAATTAAGTTAATCTTATTTTGTCAAGCATAATCACACTATTAAATTTGCACACAATTTTGACACAATCAACTACTCCGTATTATTATTATGAAGAAATGCGAGACAAATCATGTGCCAATTGATTTTTAATTAAAATGAACTTTTAATTATTTAAAAAAAAATTATCTTGGTAATATATTTGCATACACTAGATCTAAGCTTAGCTAGTTTGAAGAAGAGAGAGAAAAAAAAATTAGAAATTCCCTTTACCATGTACGTAGTAACTTGATTCTTGAATCATTTGACTAAATATTGCAAAAATGGGAAAAATAAAAGGACTTAGTCATGAAAGTTATTTAATTACATGTCCAAAACATGCATGGCATGCATCAGTTTTGAGAACTTACATTCAAATTCATTTTCGGTATGAGTCTATTTTTGTTCCCTACAAAATAAAGGATGGAGATAGATATAATTCAGGATTTAGGATTTTCTTCATCACAAACCGGTAGTACGTATGTAAAAACAAGTGAAGAATGCATGATGACAAACAAATTTAATTCAGAGTTCAGGTTGTTAAATAAATACGCAATAGTTCTTAATTAATTGTGTTTTTGTATTATTATTATTATTATTATTATCAACGAATTCTGTTGTGGAATTGTAAATTGTTTCTTTTTCAACCCTCCTTCTTCGGTGATCCCTCCCTTTTCCTTCATTGCTCGAATTTTTGGTCAATTTTGCCAAGTAAAGGATTCGCTGTAGAGCAGAAGATTCGTGACGCCAATTTGTAGAGTGCTCTTCAATGGAGGTTGAAGGTCAAAGGGTTAAAGTGAAGATATGAGAGAGAAAGGAAAGGGGGGTTTTAGTTTAGCTGAGGTAACGGGTAATTCTCTGTTTCTCATTGTGAGAAAAAAGTTTTGTTTCTCATGGGGTATGAGTCAAGATTTGGGGCTCCCACTTATGACACATACGCGATCCCTACCAATGAAAAATATCACATTATTTTCCAAAATGTCATTATGAGAAACAAAAGTGTTTCTCAAAATGAGAAACTGGGGCTCCCTCCTCAGGTAACCATGGGTTAGAGGAGATTTAATTTTCTTTTTTTGACCTGAACTAAATTAAACTAAACATAAGTCCAAAAGAACAGACCTGAACTAAATTAAACTAAACACAAGTCCAAAAGAACTACAGGACCTAAGTTATAATAATAATAATAATAATAATAATAATAATAATAATAATAATAATAATAATAATAATAATAATAATAATAATAATAATAATATTAAGATTACCATTTAGAATCTCGTTGACAACAATAGGAACAATCTTGCCTGAGTATGAGTCTCCTGATATGTACAAAGAATTTGTTTTGAATTTAGAATGTTCCAAAAGCCACTGCGTTCATGTAAATAAGCTATATATTACACATGTTTTTATATCAAGTACTGAGTAATATTTTGATACACGGATTGTAAAATGTAAAACTGAAAAGAGCATTTTTTTTTCTTATAAACACATAAAAATGAAGAGTGAAGGAGAAGAAGGGATGAACACTAATATATAACAGTAATCCACATAAAGAAGAATCTAATTTACTTAAAAGAAGCACAATTATAAGATCCTCTTTTTTCTTTCTTTATATATCCCTCGTATCACATGATTTTTCTTTTTTCTTTCTCTTTAATTCTGTCATCTCCAAAAATTCCGTAAGAATTTGTATTTTTACAAATGGTGCCTCTTATAAAATGGAAGAAGTATTAAAAATAAGTGGGCTTATAGCCAATTACCTGATAGAGATACAAGATAATTATCTTTTGATATTATCTTTATCTCATAGTTGTGAGGATAATTAGTTATTCTACCTAGCTGTAAACTTATCTCCTTATTTTTTGTATATTGTTACTATCTTTTATACTCTTTGTATAGCTCTCTCATTGTATAAATTTAGGTTGTACACTCTGTTTAATTCATTCAATACAATTATAATCATCTTATATTACCAAACACTCCCTCACTCATTTCTCTAATTATTGCAGTTATGCAAGTGGTTAGGCTATCACTAATTTTAAGAAAAAAAATGTACCCCTAATTCCTAAATGGAAGAGTTTTGGACAAAATGTTCCAAGAGGTACACACTACAGAAGGAGAGTTTAGTAAAAATAAAAATAAACAAGCGGATTGGACACTTGGACGTACTGTGTAAAATTGTTGCAATGATTGTGAAACTTGTCAGAATAAAAGGTGATGTAATGATAATTAAAAAAAAGGAAATATGAAGGATACTATATTTGAATACTGTTTTAGTGAACACCAAAAAATGTAACTACAATGATTAATAATATCAAAATTCACTAACCTTTCTCAAAAATTCATATACATGTTTTGATTGTAATATGTCATCACTGTAGTATGCGTCTGGGGTTGTTCCATATGAGAACCCAGTGCCAACCGGAGAATCTAGAAATATAATGCTAGCTACCTAAACAATGCCGCAATAAGCAATGGTCAAAATAATGCGTTAGCAAATGTAAAAGTTAATATATAATGTATATTAATAGAAGTAGGGCAATCGAGATAATATTGAAGAATTTTATTCCCAAAAAATGTATTGAAGAATAGGATTTTATGTAAAACTCCTCCATTATTTTTAAATTGTTCCATATTGATTTTCTTACACTATTTATTCTTCTTAATTTAACTATATATCTCGATTAATATTTTAAATGAAAATTTATTATGTAATACGGAGTATTTAACTAGATTTATAATAATGTGTCTGTATTTTTTAAATATTAGTTTTCATTTTACAAATTTACCTCAAGCTTGATAATAAGATGTAATGGTCCATACCTTAAAAATTGTGAAAGATGATATGATACAAACAAAAAAAGGAAATACAAGAAGCAAAATATTTTTTTTGGTCAAAACACCCTATTAACCAACATCTCTCACAGGTTAGTCAAGTCAGCTACATAGGTCATCGCTTAAGAGTGAAAGGGGAAGTAAGAAATTCCCTACCAATGTTTAGTTGGTTTGAACGGATATGCAATGCAAATTAAAGCAACAATAGGTTTTTTTTTTTTTTTCTTCAGAAACAACACTAGTCTTATTGTGATAAATCCTTAAACCCAAGGAATAAATAATTTAATTTACCTTTGTCCATGAATATGGATTTAGCTGAAATTGTGGTATGCTAGCTGAATCAGAAGCACTGTAATTGAATGTTAGTGGACCTGTCAAGTAGTTTAAATGTTTTAAACAACTGAAAGTACCAAAGCATTACATACAAAAGGGGCTGTAAAAGAGAGATAAAACTCCATTTTCATGCATATATAAGAGCAACTCTAATGGTTGCTTTTGGGGACTTGCTTGAAATTTGTATTTTGTATAATTTTTGAGCTAATAGCAAAACTATTGGAGGATAATTCACTAATTAGCTTTAAAAAAAATATATGATAAAATATTAATTAATTAAAAAATAAAGTTGAAAAAACTAAATCACAACTAGCTTACCATTTTGGAGTAAAAATAAGCTAGAAAAATTATAACTAAAAAAGATGATGCGACAATTTAAACTAGAAGATAAAACAGCTTGCTATTAAGTTGCTCTAACTAGTTTATCACCATACAAAAGCTACTAAATCTAAGCTAATTAATACTCCAAATGTTAAATGGTTTTTAAGAAAGTTTATGTGTCATATTATACTATCCCACTCATGCAAGCTCCATTTCCATGTCAGTCCCTCATTCTAAAAAAATTAATAAATAAATAATAAGATATGAGTAATATAAGAATAGTCGCTATAACTTTAATCAAGTAATCTTTGAAATAGTAAGTTAGAACTTAACTACTAATCAACTAATCTAATATATTGTCTGAACTTATTTAACGTTATTCGAGTTTATTTGAACTTATTAATAGATCTTAATTTGAATAACTCGTATAGGTCGTATTAACTCTTGTGATAAGTCGTTTGAACTTATTTTCAATATCATAAAATTTATCTAGCTTATCTAAATTCATTTTCTTAGAATATATACAAGTAAGGTGAATAAAACAACACTTACAATTAATTTAGTGTATTAATTTATGCATTGCACAAAATTAAAACCTATCAAAAAAAATAAAGGAGCAAGAAGATAATAACGACACAACTATTATGAATAATATTGTTATTTTTGTAATCATATTTTTAAATGAAAGATACCTACCAATTTCATAAACAAGGCCAGAGAAAGCAGAGCAACCAGGACCTCCAGTGAGCCAAAGCAGAAGAGGGTCTTCTTCTACATTTCTTTCTGATTCTATGAAGTAATAGAATAATTGCACTTCCTCTGATTTTCCAACCCCTATATATCTGCCTCATAATAAATAACCAACAAAAAAAAAAAACGTTTTTCAACTTGTTATTAGCATACTTTGTCTAATCGTTCTATAACAGTGCTTCTAGGAAGAAATGTTAGAGACGGAGAGAACATATAATAAACAAACTAATATCGTATGATAATATATCTGACCCGGTTTCGAGGGTGAAAGGTAGATTGCCAGGATAACCAGGTAGAGACTTGATAATCTTGGGTTGTGATTGAGAAAAAGAGATTAAAGTTGAGATCAAGATTAGCTGCAAAATTTGAATTTTGTGTAAGTTAATCATGTTTGTTTTGGTGGATACCAGAGAAACAATTCGAAGTAGAAACTTTTAGTGAATAAAAAAAAAAGTGGGTAGATTGTTTGATTAATCTGCTTAACAACTCTTATGTTTAGATTATTAAATTCTGATTCGATACCTAATCACATGTTTAATGTTCATCCGTTGACTAGTTTATTTGGCGATTGATTTATTTAGCGTGTTAAAGTGGAAAAAGGTCGGGGAAACGGCTTAGTGTTGGTATTGATAATAACCACATATATATACACAATACACCACAAGACCTAGCTTGCCTAAAACTCCTAATAAGATAAACTTAACAAATATACAATATTAACATATATAAACCAAACCGACTCTAATGCTCCCCCTCAAGTTGCAACATGCAAATCGCAAATGCCCAACTTGTGTAACAAAAAACCAAACTGTTGCCGTCCAAGAGCCTTGGTAAGAATATCTGCCAACTGATGATTAGTCAAAACATATGAAGTAGAAATAATATTACCCTTAAACAACTCATCATGAACAAAATGACAATCTACCTCAATATGCTTCGTATGTTCATGAAACACCGGATACTTAGCTATATGCAGGGCCGACTGACTATCACAAAACAACTGCATAGGTTTTGAATGATTGACTCCAAGAACAAACAACAACTACTTCAACCATTTCAACTCACAAGTAGTGAATGCCATAGACCGGTACTCGGCTTCAGCCAAGGATTTTGAAACTGTAGGTTGTTTCTTAGTCATCCAAGAAACAGGAGAACGACCTAAGAACACAAAATAACCAGACAAAGAACGACGAGTCAAGGGACACGCGCCCTATCACTGTCACAAAACGCCGTCAAGCGTAAATCCTTCATAGGTCGTAACAAGATGCCTTGTCCCGGACTACCCTTAAGGTAGCGCAAGACACGAATGGTCGCATCCCAATGAGAAACCTGCGGTTCACTCAAAAACTATACCAAAACATGCATTGAATAACTCAACTCTGGTCGAGTGACCGACAAATATATCAATCGTCCAACCAACCGACGATACTGTTTCGGTTGAGCGAACGGCTCACCGGAAGCATGTGCAAGTCGATGATTCTGCTCCATCGGAGTGTCAATGGGTTTGCAACCCAACATACCTGCCTCAGTCAAAATATGCAAAGCGTACTTTCGTTGAGAAAGAAAGATACCCTTCGGACTACGTGCAACCTCAATGCCTAAGAAATACTTAAGCACACCCAAATCCTTCATATAGAAGCATTTGCACAAATAGGCCTTAAACTGAACCATAGCATCATGAGAGGAGCCTGCAATAATCAAATCATCGACATAGACAAGTACATGCAAAGAGACACTGCCCTATACGTAGCTAAACAGAGAGTAATTAGCATATGAGTTTTTAAACCCAAAACCTCGCGGAGCACTAGACAACTTCGAAAACCAATGTCTCGGGGCTTGTTTCAAGCCATATAGAGACTTCCGCAACATGCAAACTTTGCCAGGTACCGGAGTACCGTACCCTGGAGGAAACTGCATATACACCTCTTCATCCAAATCACCATGAAGAAATGCATTATGAACATTCATCTGATGTAACTCCCAATTCAAAGATACAGCAACAGCAAGAAAAAGATGTACCGTTCCCATCTTTACAATAGGAGCAAACGCTTCATTGTAATCAACACCGAGACGTTCCACCTTCGACTTGTCGGTGTTCTTGATTTTGTACACCCAACCACTACCAATCGCCCTCTTGCCGGGAGGAAGATCCTCAACAGTCCATGTGTCATTACGCTTTAAAGCGTCAATCTCATCTTGCATTGCCTTACGCCAACCGACATCTTTAACTGCCTCTTTAAAAGAAGACGGTTCCTTTCCCTTAGTGATCGTCGCCAAAAAACACTTGTGTCTCATAGAAAAACAATTATATTCAACATGACAAGCTATAGGGAAAGGTTTACCTGAAGAACGAGATTGAGGAGGGACAATAGTTGAAGGAGTGGGGTCTATATTTTCAGTGATGACAGTATTAGTGACATAATGACGGTGCCACGAAGGTGGACGTTTCTCACGATGACCACGACCAAGTTCCTCCGACGACGAAGAAGAACTCCCCCTCAAATTCAAAGGCATGATGGCAATATCCTCATCAACAATTTCGTGCTCAACTACACTATCTGAGCTAGCACTCGCATCATGAGCCAAACCAAGACCACGAGACAACGAATGCGAAGACTCGGACCGGCCGAGGACTGCACCACCACCCGTGCCTGACTGCTGCGCGGGGTTGTGCTGTGGGTGGCCGAGGGCAGGCTGACCTGCTAGGCTGCTATACTGCTGCGGCTGGCCTGCTACGTTGCTATGCTGTTGTAGCTGCCCTGTAGTGCTGCTGATCAAGCCTGCGGGCGCTGGGTTCCCTGCGGGCTGATCAGTAGCCGAGGGCTGGCTGCTCGACAGATCCCGCGGGCGCAGGTCTTCCCTACGGGCGGATAGGAACTTTGAGAAGGGGGCTTCACCCGCGGGACAGTCACGCGGGGTAGGCTGCGGATGTGCTGTCGTACCATCATCCTCCCATATCGGAGGTTGAGAAAGATATTTTTCCCACAATAATCTTCGCTTATCCGGAAGAGACTCAAGATAAGGGAATTTATCTTCGAAAATTTGCACATCCCGACTGATAAAAAACTCATTGGTATCCAAGTCATAGAGACGCCAACCCTTCTTTCCATGCGGAATCCAACAAAAATACATTTTCGAGTACGTGAATCAAACTTGTCTAATCCGAGGTCGATTTGCAGCATAACAAAGACAACCAAAGACCCGGAGACTATCATAAGACGGCTTTTGACCAAACAAAGACTCATGAGGGGTTTTTCCTTTAAGAACCGGTGTTGGAGTACGGTTAATGAGATGAACCGTAGTCATGACACACTCACCCCAAAAATACTTGGGCAACTTTGCTTGAAACCAAATAGCACGCTTATCCAAGTGAATCGTAAGTATGCATATATGCATGCACATATCCAAATGCATGTTTGATGTGGGGAGCAAAAGTCCATGACCTTCATTTCAGGATGTGTAAGCAATACTTAAATTTAATTTTTGTCAAAATCAAGGGAGTTTGAGAATTGAGATTTAGGATAAGATTGGCTAAAAATGAAAGAAAAATAATAAAGTGGGGCCAACATGAAAGGAAATAAGCCAGATTTAAAGGAGAGCCCGACAAAGAGCATCTTTATGCATGGGTGTTTGCATATTATCATTCATCTTTCCCCTTTCGAAGTCAAGATTAATTTCTGTTTAGTTGAACTTATTTTTCTTATCTAAACTTATTTGATCTGGTTTAGTTTGATCTGATCTGATCTGATCTTATTGTCTGATTTGATCAAACTTTGACCTTAAGTGTACGATAATCTATAAGGAAAAAATGTATCAAGTGGGATCTTGTTAGATTCGTAATAATGTGAATTTTATTAATATATAATTTTCATAATTATTTTCATTACGAAATTAAAGATATTTAACGATAAAAAATTGCACATAAAACGATAATCTGATCTGAACTGAATTTATTTTTTCTGATCTGATATGATCTGAACTTATTTTTTCTGATCTGATTTGATCTGAACTAGTTTTTTCTGAAATAAGTAAAAATAAGTTGAACTAAATAAGGCCTAAGTCATTCTATTCTTCCTTCTTTTATTTTCTCCCCTTAACAAATTCAGAGCCCCTTAACTAATTCCATTCCAATAATATTGTAACATGGGAAAGTATAAAAGATGTAAAAATGTGGATAAAAGGTGGATGGCCTGAATAACAAAAATCGTGTGAATTACTCATAAAATTTACGTAAGTGATAAAATAATTTAGAAAATGTACGTGAAGGTAATTGAGTAATTGTAGTGTGAAAAAAGATATTAATCGAATTGGGAGATCTCAAAAGTACCTTTCAACTAGGCTTTGCTTTGCTCCCACACTTGACAACAATCTCTCCAACTTCTTAGTGAAACCATCAACTCTCAAACAAAAATATTGCAATATTTATGAAACTTCTAAACAAGATAAGCTTTGTACTCTTTGATCCACTAATAATATTCATGTTTGGTTTGCAAACACATATTAAGTACTCCATAACTTAGCAAGACGGGTAAATATCTTTGTTAAAGAGTGTATCAAACGAATAGTACTCTGTATATAGTTTGACTAAAAGAAAGTTAGTGAATAAGAGGACTCACATAACATATACATAAAATGAAGTAATATAACGAGAAAGAGTTAACCCATAAAAAAAATCCACATTACATTAGTTGAGATAACCAACGACCAATGAGGGTGAAATGTCAGAACATTTTTGCAGTTTTTTTTTGAGCAGGTAAGGAGAAGGGTCTTACTAGATCGGAATACTTCACATGTCAAATTAAAAATAAGGGATTCATCGCCCCAAATAACCTCCAATAGAATTTGATTCCACGACTTCATGGTTATAAAATGAAGAATATTCCAATAGACTAAATGTTGCTTTTATTTGATTGAATTTTCACATAATAAGTGAATGATTATGCAGTGTACAAGTAGTAGCTTAGGAGTGTTGTACTGTAGTTGTAGTGGTGAAGTGCGGTTGTTTGCTACAGTATGTGTGATCACGCACTCTCGCACTACTGTCACTGAGGTTATTGTCAGCGCAACTCACGCTTCTTTATTTTCTCTCCATCTTTATTTATGCTTACTTCTCTCCTCGTGCTACTTCCTGCGTGCTCCTGCCCTTTGCCTCCTTGCATTTCCTCTTTGCTTGGCTTTCCAACACAACTATTCCTATTTCCTACCCCCCTCTCTTAATATGCGGTCAAACTATGCCTCTCATCATTTTGTACACTAGCTTAATTAGCATCATCATTCGTTTATAGTCTCGACTAATAATAATTCATCATATTCGTAATATGATGTACGACATCTAGTTTTGAATTTTGCCTAATATTGTATAATTTGGTTTTTTTCACCAAATTAAAAATCTACAATAGATTAATTTAAGATTTCACGAAACAAAATTGGTTTTTTTTTTTTTTTTTTTTTTTTCTCTCAGAAGGAGTTGTTTAGAAGTGTATGGCGAGTGTGCATCTACAACTCACAACCATCAATCTCATTTTTCACACATTTTGGACTTCCTCTTAGTAAGGTTTACTAGTAAAATTGCGTACTTCGTATGTCTTTTTAGTTAATACATTCAGATATATATAT